CAGGAGCAGAGGCAGCAGACCTTCGCCGTGCCACGGCCGCCTCACCCGCCCATGCACATGCCAAAGATGATGTCTGAAAACCAATACCCCGCAGAGCACAGGTAAGGCTGCCCCTGCCCGAGTGAGCGTGGGTGTCTTGGGGGTGTTTATGGGGGGCTTTGGCTCTCTTGGGATGGATCGGTGGCCCCGAGCTGTGGGGAGAGAAGGGGAACGCCTGTCGCCTTGCTGCCGTCGTGGACTGTGGGCCAGATGCTGCTGCCTGGGGGCCCGTGGAACCAATGCGGCAAAAGTTGCTGCTTCGCACTGGGACCTCATGGCTCTTGCTCCCCACGAGTCGGCTCCCTACGAACTCCCAGCCCCAGTGACACCGGGCAGACCCTTTGCCTCTGCCGTGGGAAAGGTGAGGGTGGCAGAGGCCGATACCTGCATCCATCCCTGCAGCAGTGGGCGATGGCGCTGAGTCAGGGCTCCTGCTCTCCTCTCTGCCATCTGAGCTGAGCCCTGCTGGGCTGGGGAGCTGCAGGCGTGCCCGGGCTGAGGGTCAGTCGTCGGCTTCCCTGTGCACTGCATGGCATCCCTGTGGTTTTGGGGGTGTGGAGGGAGAGGCCCTGCTTCCTCTCCAAGCTGTGACTTTGTACCCCATCACCCCTGCATCCTTGGAGGCTTTGCTGGTCCCCTGTGCCGTGCTGCGCTGCCAACCAGGGCAAGGGAGGTTACAGCTTTGCTTGCGGCCTCCTGGATGCTCTTTGCTGCGACGATGGCAGCCGATCACTGGCAGCAGGGTGTCCACTTTGGGCACGGGGCTGGACATGGCAGCCCAGCAAAGGCCATGCAGCCGGGCCGTGGAAACCCTTGGGATGCGCCTGCAGCAGGCGAGCATCCCTCCCTGACGAAGTGGGGTTCGGCTCCAGGCGACCTTCGAGCTATGTGGAGGGGCTGGCTGTGACCCCTCGGGAAGCGCCGTGCCAGCACGGGGCTTGGGTTTCACTCAGGAAGGGCAGAGGGACGCGGCTCGGAAATGGAGTAATCCCAGCCCGGCAGCTGGGACGGCTCCGGTTACAAAGCCAAATGGCGCACGGCCGGCCGAGAGGAGCCGGGCGCGGAGATCGCAGATCGCCTTTCAAGGTGCCGGAGGGCGAGGGGATGTGGCAGCGCCCCCTCGAGATGCTCCCTTATCCACCACAGCCCCGGGAGGGATTTTTTGACTGGTTTTCAGAGATTTTACTGTTGTGGGGCGGGGTTTTTTTATTTCCCTTTCCCACTATCATCCAGTCATCCCCACTGTAGCTCTGGGCTGCTGTAGCCCACGGCACGCGGTGCGTTGCAGCGATGGCCCACGTGCCGTCCTGCTCCCCAGCACCCCGCCGGGTCCCCATGGGATGAGCCCTTGTGGTGGCCGTGCTCCCGAGGCACCTTCACAGCCCACTGCAGGTGGGACACGATGCCTTCCAGACCACCCCAAGACCACCCCGAGCTGAGGACACCGAGCCGGCACGGGGTCCCCGTCTGGGGTGGGCGCTGGCAGCGTGCCAGCAGGGCTGACCCACCAGCCCTCAGTGACGCTGCGTCCCTCTCCCACCAGGTTCCAGAGGCAGCTGTCTGAGCCCTGCCACCCCTTCCCGCCGCAGCCCAGGGTCCCGGGGGACGGCCGCCCCATCTACCACCGGCAGCCGTCAGAGCCCCCCCGCCCCACCCCCCC